CAGAGTTGTCCCCGCACGTGCGGGAATGGGGCCGCACGTGCGGGACTACGTGCCTTTTTAGCAGAATCAAATTTGGTTTTGGGACTGGACTGCCACATGTGCGGGAAGACCCGCCGCCCGTGCGGCTCTGGGCAATTTGCAGTCCGAAAATGGCTGCATAATTTGGAACCTCTCATTTTCAAAATCGAACCCCAATTTCATGTAAATCAAAGCCTAAAACTCTTTAATACATGATAAATTTCACATTATTAGCTTCCATCAAAGATCATAACCTCAAAATACTACTCAAATTCCCAAGCATAAGAACAAGATTAAGATTTAAAAAAACACAAGAGCATAAAGTAGCCATGGTTTGGGGTTCAAAGCTCACTTGTATGGTGGAATCCTCTTTAGCCTCTGTAAGAACCATAAAATTCCTACAAGAAACTAAGTTGTAACATAATTCATGTCATATTCAAAGATTCAACATTTTCTTACTTAAAGAAACAAGACCCATACACACAATCATAGATAACCCAAGAAACTCACTCTTTAGTTTATGATCTTCAAGGATTGGGAGGGAGAATTTACCTTAAGCCTTTACCATCACTTATTCTTGTATAAGCATGATGAATTCAAGCCAAATCATTGATTTCTTCATCATTCTCAAGTTTTCTCTTCTTCTCTTGCTTCTTTCTTGCTCTCTCTCCAAATTTTTCTTTCCTTAGATATTTTCTTGGCTCAAAGGTTGAGTTGAACAACTCATATAGCATATATATATATATAAGCTTTCCACAAATAGGAAGGGCCAAACACGCCCTTACGAATCGCACAAAATCAAATTTCAATTAAACTTCCCAGGTGACTCTAAAAATTACGCTGATCATAAATATGTCCTCTGTTCTGGTTTCTGAAGTCTTTAAGGCCTTCAATTTGTAGTACAAAGTTAACCACCCAAACATGCACTAACGAATCAGACGAATTAAATCTCCAATTAATTTTCCCAAATAGCTCTAAAAATTCCCATTAACATATCCATGCACTCAATTCCGATTTCTGAACCCATAAAGGTTGGCAATTCAACTTTAAAGTCGTAACTCAACAGATAATGCTTCAATTCAAACAGATATCATTAAATTAAAATGCATTAACCCACAAGGGCATAAAAGTAATTTCGGATACGGATTTTGGGGTCGTTACATGTCCGTCGTTGTCATTAGATACTATTCTTTTTCTCAACGTTCTTAGAACCCAAATTTGGCCACTTTTATTATTGAATTGAATATAAAATTCATCATTCAGTAAAGAATAATGCTTTTCAGTCGAATTAAAGAACAGTCATGTCATCATCTGTATGATGACTACAGATGTTGATGGTTGGCAACTACATGGTCTGATTTGTCTTGTTCTCTTGGTAATTCTGGTGATTTTTTTGAAGCAATTTGATGTGCTTTTTTATATTTCAAATGATTTTAAACTTTCATGATGCTGATTGGGTTGGTAGGCTCAACCTCTTATATATTGTACATGTATTGGAGGCAACCTTGCTAGTTGTTATATTAAAAAACAAAATGTTGTTACTTGTTTTAGTGCTGATGAAGTTGAGTATTGCACTATGGCTCGTACTATCTCTGAAATTAGGGTGTAAGCGTTTTGGTTCGATCTGGTCAGGTTTTGGAGAGATTGCCCCTAAACTGACCACGTCGGTTTTGTATTGCTATGGGACCTAAACTGACAGAAAGTCCTTCTTAGCTTTAGCACATCGTTGACCATTGGGTGGTTGATGTGGTTGATTTGAGATATATATAGTAAATCCCCAATAGCAGATCCATAATCTTGTACAGTTTGAGAGAGAAACCTGTTAAAACCTATCACCTACTTCACCCACTTAAACCTACTCCACTAAACCTAACCCACTAAATCCACATACTCTCCACCTACTTCACCCACTTAAACCTACTCCACTAAACCTAACCCACTAAATCCACATACTCTCCACCTACTTCACCCACTTAAACCCCCCCAAAAAAAAAAAAAAAAAAAAAACAAACAAACAAACAAAAAAGAATAGCTTATTACGACAAAATACTCTTCCAATGACCAGCACGTGTATAAGACGCATTATATTAAAGTTTCTGACGTCAAAGTACCTTGGTAAGTTCATTGTACATTGGTCTTTCATTCAATCAAACTAGACCGAACCAAATACCGATTTTTCATGTATTTCAAAACCAAGCAGACAGTTATTAGTAAAGAAACTAAGCAAAACCAGTCAGTTTGATCGACTTTGAGTGGTGCAATTGGTTTAGGAAGTTTTTCTTTTCCCCCGACTTTGAAAAGTTATGGGTTATTCTTTTGGATTTTGGCATCGATATCCCTACTCCTATGCAAATGTTTTGTCACAATCAAGTCGCTATCTTGATTACTTACAATCTTTGTTTTTCATGAGCGAATAAAACATATAGAGGTTGTCTGTCACTTTTTGTTTTCATATTTGTTGCTATAGAAACAAATTGTCACTACTTATGTTCCTTTGGATGGTCATTTGGGTAATATTTTCATGAAGAACTAAGTAGTTTTTTTTTTTCCCCCCTGAGGTTGTCTTTCAAGCTGACCATGTTTCATCTCTATGCTTCAGCTCGAGGGAGTGTTAGAATGTTATCTTCTTCTTGTTTCTTTCTTTCTTTCTTTTTCTTTTTATTTTTAGTCTTATGTTATGACACTTGAAATATAACATTGGATTTAATATAAAACACAAGTGACGTTGAGGACTGATTAGGTTCCCGAAACATATTTTTTTGTTCTTTCTGTAACGCCCCAAATTTCTAGCCCAAATTATAATACAACAATCATGGCTCTTTCAAGGAAAACCGAATATAAATCTCTAAACTTACATTAAATGATACAATAGTTCTTCATGCAACAATACATTAATCCAACAAGTAAATAAACAAATAAATACCCCCAAGGGTTTACAAGTTTCCAAGGCTTGAGCCTGGTTACACAAAACGGTTATTCAAACCCACACACATACACTAGCAAAATGAGAGTCTCGTACTCTTAACACACATTTCTCGCCTTTAGTTAGGCGGCATCACCATATCTTTTCCTGCACAAAAATCCATTAGGGTGAGCATAAAGCCCAGTAGGAAATCCTTAATAAAGTACATACATTTTATACAAGTCTCAAGAGATGAAATGCACATGCCATGCTATGCTCTTTTGAAAGAAAATCATATCTTCATCTTTGAAAACCCTCATAATCAATGATGTCATGCAATTTCAATTCTTCAAAACTTAACAATTTCATTTCAAGAGCGGTAAATACGACTTTGGTAATCTCTAGGTCGGTGTCTGCAGGTAGACTATACAAGTACTACTAATTTGTCATTTTTACCGGTATTAACCGGAAGGCTCGACACCTATCCGTGCGGGTTTTTGGTCTTTCACCCCGGACTCTTAGGCCAACTTATTCAATATCATTTACATCACCTATCAAGACTTGCCAACGTACTTACTCCAAAACTATTCCATGAAAACTTGTTTCTCAACGTTCTTTTCTCAATGCAAGTTTTCAAATCAACTTTCAAAGTTTAATGTAATCAAATGAATTGATATGCCAATAACACAAGATGAATATAAATACTTTTATTCCAATTCATCATCCAAGGAATAACAAAATTCTCTCTTTTCAAGTATCCTCAACAATTGGTCATTTCAAGACTATTTCAACGTTTTGAACAATAATTTTCAAAATGAACAATAATTCTCATATTCTTTGAAATTCATCATTTATATAAATATAAATAAGAAAATTTTCAAACATCTATTTATTTTGACACACAAAATAAATATAATAATGTTATTCATGGATTTTCAGTCTCTTAAAAAAAATTCCCAAATTCTAGATTTTTTCACCAAAATTATACAACTCAAATCTTTTGAAAGAAAATTTTTCAAAATCATCTTTTCTTCGATCAACGAAGATCAAAACCCATGAGAGCATTTTAAAAGAGCAAGAGACAAATCCACTTTCAAAATCGCTCAACTTCTTGAATCAACAATCAATTTTTAAAGCTATCGAAAGATGATTTCGAAAATCATATAGATCTTGCAAAAACATATATATAACTCTACGAAAATCCCTACCTCAAGTTTTGAAGAAGAAATGAGATGAAATCCCCAAAATCAACGGTGTCGAAACTCGAGAAGTTAACCAACTTTGATGAAGAAACTATGGCAGAACTCTAATGGATCTTGAGAAATTAAGGTTTTGATCCAATTTGGCGTAGGGAAATGTAGAGAGAAGGGAGAGGAAAGGGTTTTTAGAGAGAGAGACCCCTAATAAGAGTGAGATACACTCAGCCTAAAGAGAAGAAAAGACTAAAATTTCAGACTCACCTACCTCCACACGTGCGGCGCTTCTCCCACACTTGCACTCCCGCACTTGCATTTATTGCAGTAGCCAAACAAGCCCTCTCATGTTTTCCGCATGTGCGGCTCAAGCAACTTCGAATGCATTTTGTATTTTTTTTTCAGGGACGCTGCCTCTCGACCCCGCCAAGGGGCGCTGCCCCCTGGACCCCCGTGAGCTGATCAGGCAGCTCGATCCCCGATCTGCCCAGTCGAAGTGGCAAACATATGAAAGAAGGATCGAAACTGGGATCGCTACACTTTCTGTCTTTCTTTCTCGTTCTTCTCTTCTCATCTAAACCTGAATTCCATATTTTATAACTTAAATGTATTATTAATGTAGGTGAAGAATAACTGCTTAAAAGCTTTTTTCTTTCTTTTCATCTGTGTTCAATTATTGTGTGCTTGTGCACTAAGGATTTGATAGGCATTGTTATTTTGATTCTACTGCACGCTATTGTATGCAAATGTCCATATAGTAACGTTCAATTTTTTGTTGTATTCAGTACTACATTTTTATCTACTCTCTTCTGTCAATTTTCATCTGTTTATTGGACCGTGTCACGACTGTGAATAATATGCACTTTTCATTTCCATTTATATTTTAGTTTTAAGAAGTTTGTGGCCATTCTGGAAGAGGAGATGAAACAGCATAACAACTGCATTGATATGGAATCAGAAGCTGCTCCTGATGATGCAGTCTCGATGCTTGAAGATGAAGTCTCTTGTGTCATTAACAACCTGCTAGATCCTCTCACTGGCTTCTTTAGGTATAAAGCTCTGCAGAAATATATATCTATTGGGGAACAGTTCTACCAGGAAGCTTGTGAGGTGGAAAGGAAAATACATTGCTTTGAAACTAATATCCAGAGGCCTTATTTTCATGTAATGGCACTTGATGAAAATCAACTAGAAAATTGGCATTGCTACCTGGACTTTGTTGAGATGCAAGAGGATTTTGATTGGGTATGCTATTTTATTGTTCTGGTGCTTATGTAGGCTTATTTCTATTCCTTTTCCATTTCTGAAACTCTTTCACTTGTAGGCTGTGAAGCTTTATGAGAGATGCTTAATTCCCTGTGCTGTGTACCCTGAATTCTGGATGCGTTATGTTGAATTCATGGAAACCAAGGGAGGGCGAGAGTTAGCAAATTTTGCACTAGACCGAGCAACAAAAATATTTCTGAAGGTATGCTTTCGTTCGAAACCTTCCATCCCTGCAAAAAAGGATAAAATGATGTGGTGGTAACTTGTATCTTTTCAGGCCTGCTGATTTTCTGGCCTTTGTTTTCTTTCCTAGTTTTGTTAGAATTCTGTTGGTGTTCATTCTGGCCAATAGATTGGAGCACGATCCAAATTCAATGTGAACCTGATGTCTTGCTGGATCGGTGAGAATATTCAATGTGGTTTCCTGTTAACGGTTCAAATTTAGTTAGACTGATGACTGAAATTGAATTTGGATTTAGGTTGATCAGATCTGTTATAAATGAAGCTTGTATGCATATGCATGTCACTGTTTGCTATTTTGTGTTGTATAGTGGTTGTGTTGTAGATTTTAGAGAAGAGAAAGAGATAGGGAATGAGTGAGACCTCATTCCCTTTTATATTAAGAATAAAACATAATTACAGGAGTGCCATAAGGCATGAGTTATGGGCCAGCTCATTACAGCCCACTACATCAAACCATAATAACATATGTGAATATAATTTCCTATTCTAACACTCCCCCTTAAGTTGTGGTGAAGATATTTCTCATACCCAACTTGTTGAGAATGTTATGAAATGGTTTGCTTCCTATTCCTTTGGTGAGAATATCTACTAGTTGGTCTCCAGTCTTCACAAATGGAGTACATATGATGCCATGATTGAGTTTTTCCTTGATGAAATGCCTATCAATCTCCACATGCTTGGTTCTATCATGTTGAACTGGATTATGAGTTATGCTGATTACTGCCTTGTTGTCATAGTACAACCTCATGGAATCGGTCTGATGGATCCCCAAATCTCCCAACAATAGTCTAATCCATAGCAACTCATATACACCCTGAGCCATAGCTTGGAATTCTGCCTCAGCACTAGATCTAACAACCACATTCTATTTCTTACTTCGCCATGTGACTAGGTTGCCACCAACAAATGTGCAATATCCAGAGGTTGACCGTCTATCAGTGACTGATCTAGCCCAATCCGCATCAGTAAAGGCCTCCACACCGAGATGTCCATGTTTTGAGAAGTAGAGACCCTTTTCAGGAGAAGACTTGAGGTACCTCAGGATTCTCATAATTGCTTCTAGGTGGGAAGTTCTAGGAGCACGCATAAACTAGCTAACCATGCCTATTGCAATGACGATGTCTAGACGTGAGTGGGATAAGTATATGAGCTTACCCATTGGTCTCTGGTATCTCCCTCGGTCCACTGGCTCACCCTTGATCCTCACTTAGTTTCTGGCTCGATTCTAGAGGTGTATCACATGGTCTACCTCTAAGCATCGCAGTTTCCTTTAGCAAGTCAAGTACATACTTTCTCTGACATATGAAGATACTATCCTTGGACTGAGCTACTTCAATACCCAAGAAATACTTCAAATTACCCAAGTCTTTGATTTTAAACTCAGTGGTTAAGTATTCCTTCAATCAAGGGATCTCCTCACCGTCATCCCCTGTCAGAACAATATCATCAACATAAACAATAAGAGCTGTGGTCTTACAATGTGAGGAGTGTTTCGCAAACAAGGTGTGGTCAGCTTGACTTTGCTTGAACCCATATTTCAACATAGCTTGAGCAAACCTTTCAAACCAAGTCCTAGGAGACTGCTTTAGCCTATAAAGCGACTTTCGGAGCTTGCATATTTTACCTTTGGACTTCGCATTTGCAAAACCAGGGAGAATATCCATATAGACCTTCTCTGCTAGGTCTCCATGAAGGAAGGCATTCTTCACATCAAATTGATGAAGTGGCCAATCCAAATTTACAGCATGAGAGAGTAAGATTCTCACGGAGTTCATCTTAGCAACCGGTGCAAATGTCTCCTAGTAATCTACCCCATAAGTCTGAGTAAAGCACTTAGCAACTAGTCTTGCTTTGTACCGCTCCATGGAATCATCTGCTTTGTGTTTTACCGTGTACATACACTTATATCCAACTGGATTTTTGCCTCTAGGTAACTCCACTAACTTCCAAGTGCCACTCTTGCTGAGAGCTCTCATCTCTTCCATCATGGCATGTTTCCATTTAGGAATAGAGAGAGCATCCTGAAAATTGGTAGGTAGACTCACAGAAGACACTTTAGACAGAAAGACTTTATATGAGGAAGACAAATTAGAATAAGAGACATGATTAGTAATAGGATGCTGAGTACATGACCTAACCCCCTTCCTATTAGCAATGAGAACATCAAGATCGGAAAACTCAGGAATAGGAGCACTAGAATCAGAATTACTTGGACTCTTAGGAGAGGGAGGTGACTCTGGACACTCATCCGGAGAAGAAGTTGATAGTAGAGGAGGGAAAGTAGTCTCTTGCATCCAGGGAACTTGATGTCTGTTCTTGTCTCTGATATAAACTTTGCTTGCTTCTTTTTCCTCAACAACTGCTGGCTCATCATCCTCTATCGTTGCAACCACTGGCGGAAGTGGAACAGGAATCTCTTGACACCAAGGCTCTCCCTTAAGGGATGACTATGATACCGGGGAGGTCAGAAAGTAAGGCTGAGACTCAAAGAAAGTGGCATCCATGGAGACAAACCATTTGCTAGTGGGAGGATGACAACACTCGTAACCCTTTTGGGTGGTAGAATAACTCAAAAAAACACACTTAAGAGACTTAAGATCCAATTTACCACGAGTAGGGGAATGATTATGGACAAAGCAAACGTAGCCAAAGGTCTTAGGAGGAATGGAGAACCTAGAAGAGGAGGACCCTGACAAGACTTGAAGAGGTGTGTGTTCTTGAAGGACTTGGGTAGGAAGCCGATTAATTAAATACGGGGCAATGAGAATTGCTTCCCCCCAGTAGGAGTGTGGAACCCACATCTCAAATGATAGATAACGGGCCACATCAAGGAGATGGCGATTTTTGCATTCGGTAACACCATTTTGTTAAGGGGTATTAGTGCAGGAAGTTTGGTGGATAATGCCATGAGTGGTGAAATAACTGGCAAGACCAGAGTCAATATATTTGCCCCCATTATTAGAACTTTGAATTTGGACAACCGCCCCAAACTGAGTACAAACCATTTTATGGAAGTTTTGAAGCACAGAAAACACCTCACTCTTATCTCTCATCAGATATACTCAAGTGGCCCTGGAGCAGTCATCAATGAAAGTAACAAACCATTTTTGATCTTTTACAGACACAAAACGGGATGGACCCCATACATCAGAATTAATCAAAGAAAATTGAACTGAACTTTTATTAATAGATGGAGCAAAAGAGGCTCGGTGTTGTTTTCCAAGTTGACATGACTTACATTGAAAATGAGACACATTATTTTTCTCAAAAACAGAAGGAAATAAATGCTTAAGTAATAAAAAGGAGAGATGGCCTAAGTGATGGTGCCACAGCCAAATGTCGTCCTTGGTGGATGGTGACAGGATAGATGAATGAGCTAGCTTATCTATTTGATCCAGAATGTAGAGACCATGTTCCTCTTTACCACTGCCAATCCTCTTCCTTGTGATAATGGTTTGGAAAAAACAATGATTAGGAAAAAATGTTACGCTACAATTTAAATCACGAGTAATCCGACTCAAAGATAAAAGATTAACACTAAAATTGAGAACATGAACTACAGAGGGCAAAAGAAGAGGAGGTGGCATGAATTAAACCTTTCCCTGACACAGATGAAATAGTACCATCAGCAATACGCACTTATGGTCGGAAGCACTAGAATCAATAATCCAGGGTACAGTCGTATGAGATAACAATGCACATGGGGAAGCAGTCAAGTTACCTAACTTGGCAAAGGAAGAAGAGAGTGCATTTGTAGCAGAAGTGGAGGCTCAACGGTCTAGCAGGTGACGAAGAGCAATCTCAAAATCCGAGGTAGATAACTCCGAAACATCAGTAGCAAGAGAGACAACCGGAGATGAAGATGGTGGCTCAACATTGTTGGAAAGATGTACCCGAGCATTGGCCCCGCGCCTCTAGACTCACTAGACCTACCCCCTCAAGTACCATGACGGTCGCCTTGGCCACCAAAGGGAGTCCCATGCAGCTTCCAACAAATCTCTCGTGTGTGTCATGGTCTACGACAATAATCACATAAAAGATTATCCTTCTCAGAGGAAGGACGAGAACCACAAGTATCGTGAGGAGGTGCAGACACCAAGGCTGAGCGGTCAATAGTAGCAGAAGGAAAGCATCGCAGAGCGGCGACTCTTCTCATTATGCACAAAAGCAAAGATTTCCTGGAGAGAAGGAAGCACATCTATGCCAAGTACTTTGCTCCGAACTGGATCATACTCCACCTTTAGGCCTTAAAAGAACTTGAAGACCCGCTCTTGCGCCACAAACTTTCGGTGACCAACAGAATCAGTGGGACAGACAGGTTTGTAATCCTGAAGGTGATCAAGGCACTTCCACCCATTGCTAAGGAAGGTAAAATACTGGAGGATAGTCATCTCACCTTGTACTGACCTTTCAATGGAGTGACGTAACTTGAAAGCCTATGAGAAGTTGCCCTTCCTGGAGTAAGTATTGGCGACAGCCTCCTAAATATCCTGGGCAGTGTTCATAGACAAGTAGCCCTTTCCAATCTCAGGTACTATAGAATGTATCAACCACCTCATGATTAGGGAGTTGGTGATCTCCCAATGGTCATAACTAGGATCCGTGGTACTGGGTGCCTGTATCCGTCCATCAACATACCCTATCTTCCCTTTGCTTTTCAAGAAAATAGTCAGACTTTGCGACCAGGCTAGATAATTCTGACCATTAAATAGAGAGGTGGTGATCTTAAGGCCAGGGTTGAGATTATCAATCATAGTAGGAGGTATCATGGAACTCTTGCTCTTAGGTGGCTGAGAAGTAGTGGACTCACTAAGGGAATCTTCCGTGGATACTCTACTAGTTAACTCTCAAACACAATACCAATCACAAACTAGGAAGATAATAGTAGAAGGAAAGACCCAACTACCACGATGAAAGCATAAGAATTAAGAACTCATAATTTTTGTTTTTTTGTTTTTATTTTTGTTTTTGTTTTGTTTGTTTTGTTTGTTTTGTTTTGTTTTTTTTTTTTTATATTTAACTGTGTTTAAGTTGGAAACATTACAAGAAACAAAGAGAAAAGCAGACTATGAAGATCGATCGGTGTTACAGACTATGGAGAAAAGCAGACTATGGAGATCGATCGGTGTTACAGACTATGGAGAAAAGTAGACTGTGTTTAAGTTGGTCTGTCTTCTGTGTTTTTTTGGGTTATAGTCCTACTCAGGAAGGTTATTGGTGTTACAAACCTGTTTCTCGTCGTCTTTATGTCTCTTGTCATGTTTCTTTTCTCAAACGTCTACCTTACTTTCATCTTCCTCTTCTCACCGCCCCAGTTTTCAAAGAGGATTGGGTTCATATTGATCTGTTTCCTTCTGAGGTCCCGTTTGATGAGTACATCTCCATAGTTCCTCCTGAGCTTGGTCCATCGTCTCCTCCTACTTCACCTCTAGCTGCTTCTCCTTCTTCGGTTTCTTCTCCTCCTCCGTTGTTAGTTTATTCTCGTTGCAAGGCTCCTCCTTCACCGGTTGTCTCTGCCCCTGCCGCTGATCTTTCTGCTTCTGACGACTCTAATCCTGCTACACACCGATATCCTGCTCGAGCGCGTCATCCTTCAAACAGGTTGGGTTGGTCTAATACATGTTTTTTTTGCTTTCTATCGTACTTTTTTGTCTGCTATTCACTCTTTTTCAGAACCTCAGTCTTACAAAGAGGCCTGTCGGGATCCTCATTGTGTTCAAGTTATGGAGGATGAGTTGTATGCTTTATAGAAAACTAGTACTTGGGAGTTTCCTTTGCCTGCTGATAAGAATCTGGTTAGTTGTAAATGAGTCTACAAAGTCTAGACTCATTTGGATGGTTCTCTTTAGCGCTACAAATCTCATCTGGTTACCAAAGGTTTCTCACAGGAGTATGGTATTGATTATGAGGAGACCTTTGCTCTTGTTGCCAAGATGATTACTGTCCGTACTTTGATCTCTGTCGCTGCTGTTCATTCTTGGCCTCTTTATCATATGGATGTTAAGAATGCTTTTTTTAATGGCCATCTCATTGAGAAGGTTTACATGCATCCTCCCCCTGGCTTTCACCATTCCTCTGAACAGGTTTGTCGCATTCGGCGTGCTCTGTATGGTTTGAAGCAGTCTCCTCGTGCTTGGTATAATCGCTTTCAGACTGTTGTTACTGAGCTTGGGTCTCGTCCTTGTGCCTAGAACTCTGCTTTATTTCTTCTCCACACCTTTGCTGGATTTGTTGCGTTATTACTGTATGTGGATGATATGATCATCACTGGTTCTGACTCTTCTGCTATATCTGAGGTCAAGTAACATCTTTTCCACACCTTTGAAATGAAGGATTTGGGCCCATTGTGGTATTTTCTTGGTATTGAGGTAGTTTCTTCTCCCAAGAGCTACTTTCTCTCTCAGGCCAAGTATGCTAATGAGGTTATTCATCGTGTTGGTCTTATTGACACTAAGATTTCTGATACCCCCATTGAGCTTAATGTAAAGCTCAACACTACCGATGGTGTTCTTCTGGATGATCCTACTCTATATCGAGAGCTCGTAGGTTGCTTAGTTTATCTGACGGTTACTCGTCCTGATCTTGTCTATGCTGTTCATGTGGTTAGCCAGTTTGTCTCTGCTCCTCGCTCCACACATTGGGCTGCCTTGGTTCAGATTCTTCGCTATCTCCGAGATACTATCTTTTAGGGTTTACTATTGTTCTCTACTTCCTCTTTAGATTTGATGGCCTATGTTGATTCTGATTGGGCTGGTGATATTACTGATCGCAAGTCCACGTTTGGTTTCTGTATGTTTCTTGGTGATTCCTTGATCTCTTGGAAAAGTAAGAAACAAACTGTTGTTGCTCGTTCTACTGCTGAAGCTAAGTATCATGCTATGGCTCATGCTACTGTTGAAGTTGTCTGGCTTCGTTGTCTTCTCTTTGACTTAGGCGTCCCTCAGTCTTCTCCGACCTCCCTCTATTGTGACAACCGCAGTGCTATTCAGATTGCACATAACACTGTCTTCCATGAGCAGATCAAGCACATTGAGATTGATTGTCACTTTGTTCGTCAGCATCTGCAGTCTGGCTTTATCTCGCTTTCTTTCGTCTCTTTGGCTTTGTAGCTTGCTGACTTCTTTACCAAGACTCACCCCACTGCTCAGTTTCAATTTCTTCTTGGCAAACTCTCAGTGTTTTCTGCCCAAACACCTTGAGTTTGAGCGGGGGTGTGAGAATAATATTAGTTTAGGTTTATTCTGTGAATATTGTTTCCTATTTAGGATTAGGTCTAAAATTGCTATATATATATATTAGATGTACACATTGTATTGAAACACAATTGAATATACAGAAAAGCTTTCAGAAATCTTACACCTAGGGGCAACACAAGGTTGACAAGCTGCATCCAGCGCCCCCCCCCCCCCCCCCAAAAAAAAAAAAATGAGAGAGAGAGAGAAATGGGAAACAAAGAGAAATGAAAGCGATAACAATTACATGCCAAAGAATGCCCTGTTGTTTGTAGATCATGTCATTTGTGTAAGTGTCTTCACAAGTTCATGCCAAGCATATGACTAATCCTTTTCCTTTTGAATACATAACACATGGAAAGAAGGGGTCACTCTTCAAATTTCAAGCTTGCACTTCCTAACCAACTGTGTTTTAATCTTCTACAAGATTGTTCTTAGCTTCATCCAACGAATTAAAAATTAGAAGAAAAAAAAATGACTACTCCTCATCCCTTTATGATGTAGATCAGGTGAATATGATTAAGGGCAAATTAAAGAAACTCATGGGGCCTAATTGTGATCTCTTGGAACATTTTTTGTTATAAGCAAAGGTAATTTTCTATTTAAAAAGCACTGACAAAAGGGGGTGTAACTGTGTACACAGGTCGTATACAACAAACAAACACAAAAACACAAGAATGAACCTCCTATATATCTGCAGGGACGGACAAATTTCCCCAAAAAGACAAAGAACTTACAAAAGAAAAAAGTCTCCTTAAGTGAAAAATACGTGAAGTACTATACCCTTCATCCTAACAGTCAAACTTTCAACACCTTTAAAAGCTCACAAACTCTTCTTTCTCCACAAGCACTACATCAAAGTTGGATGCATGAATGTTGGCGGGTTGCCAAAATTTGCATGCTCTTGGACATTGTCAGGGTTAGACTTAACTAATGCCACGTCCTCTGAGTTCTACTTGAAAGTCTTGAATTAAGTTGAATAATTGTTTATGTAATCTTTACAGAAAATATCATGTTATAAGTGTTAGATAGCTTGATATACACTTAACAATACATAACTCACTGACTGCAGAATGTTATTTTTGTGGATGATGTGGAATTTGAAATATCTAGCCTGAAGTAATATAATTCAGATTTGCTGAATAACTGCAAAATCTTCATTTGTCTGTGGTTTTCTGTAAACAAGATCATGTCACTTTGAAACTTCGTTGATTTCTTTATTTCTGAATTGATTTTGTAAATGATTGGACATGATTTTGGCCTCCTTTGCATTTGTTGCAGAATGTGCCAGCGATTCATCTTTTCAATGCCCGGTTTAAGGAGCAAATAGGAGACAGAGATGGTGCGCACGGTGCATTTCTTTGGTCTGATAATAAATTCAGTTCCTACTTCATTGAAAAAGTAGTAAAAGAAGCTAATATGGAAAAACGATTGGTATATTATCAACTCTATATATTTTTTTTGTAGATCTGGAGTAAGGAGTTTTAGTTAAAATTGTCCAAAATTGTCAGGGAAATTTTGCAGCAGCTTCCAATGTATATGAGAAAGCACTTGAAATGGCAGCAGAAAAACAGAAGTTGCAAAGTGTTCCAATTCTATATATTCATTTTGCTCGTCTTAAATATATGGTAATAAAGTCATTCATAAGCATTTCTTTAGCATAGGAAATTGTAAATTGGCTATTCATTACTGATTTTGGCTTGTAGTTTTCTCTCCATTATAAATTTATTTATCAATTGGATCTACTTTACTTTCCAAAACTGTTTGCTGATGATGAAATGATGCATGCTTCACTCTATTTTCTGGTGATAGTGCTTTCTAGGTTTCCTCTATTGTACTTACTTGCGCAGTTGCATTAACATGATTGCTTCTTTTAGAACCATGTCTCTCTGTTCAGAAGTTGCTATCTTCTTGTATCATTATTGTGCGCACATGCAAAAATGGGTTTGCAACCTAGTTTATGTCTGTAGTGTACAGTAGCCTAGTAGTTATGAAGCACGTATACTCCTAGAAGGGAGACGTATCCGTATCATATATGTATCGGATACTGATACTCTTTGGATAGTCGTGGATACGTATCAGATACTTAATTTTGAAGTATCGAAGACTTCAAGTCACGTATCATAAATTTTAAGAAATTCGAATTGTAGCATTTCTTGCTTAGCAATTTGTGAGGATAAATAGAATAATATTTTCTTAATATTTCGCTTTCTTCTTTGATAAGAACATAATACCCTAATTTTTTAGAATTTGTTGAATTGACATATTGTCACAGTTTGACTCTTTCGAGTATGCATACCATTCACTCGACCTGACATTTGTAGGTGCTTTGTCAAACAAGAACTACTCCATGAAAGAAGTCCTGCATTTCAAGTGCCGCCCTGTTGGCATTCTTGCCTCAAGTTGCGCATCCTTACTGCCAACCGACTACTTCACTACACTAAGCTCACCCTTGAGCAAGGCACTCGCCCCACCGAAGGGACCAATGTCGTCAAGGCGTTCCTTGCCACACGATTGCACACAATAGAAGTGTTGCCCACAATTCAGCCACCATGAGGGTTTTCCCAACTATGCGCTAGCTTAGGCCCCCAACCTAGCTGACAAGCTTCCACGCATGTATAGGGTCTTTTGTTGTGCACCGACAACTTTTTCCTCATGCACACTTTGACATCCTAAACCATCCACCAAGGGTCATTGCGCGCCCAAGGTGTTGCGCTTGCGTGTTGCATGTGTAAGGTAGTGTTGGTCCATAGCTCACTAATAGCATTGTGCCTCGTTACAAGCTTAGCACAAGGTGCCTCGCATGATGGTTGAGCTTCATTCATTGCAAATGTTCCCACAAGTAGTGGCGTTGCCACTGCACCACATACTTTTAGGCCACAGGACCCCCATGTGCATAGTTGAACCCAAACACATGTCCGTGAGTTAGCACACGATGCTTTGTTTGCGCCTCGATAGCCCATTCGGTCTAGGACGACACCGCATGAGTTAGGATGCGTTACATAGTGGGTGTGTGTCTTAAACATCACACCTAGGAGCCACGTGCAGTTTCAACACTCACGCCCCGCATGACACAGTCCAAGGGGCTCCCAAACCCACATTGAGACCTAAGACGCCCCTCTGACTGCCAAAGGCCCACCCCTAGGTTGCCTCAGGTTGCTTATTTGGAGTCCACTCTTGGATGGGGAGACAATTTGTAGCACACCATGCCCTTCATTATAGCATTTGAAACCCTTTGCTAATCGTAAGAAACATCCACTATGTTTGAGGAATCAAAATGATTTTTCATTAATTTCACAAGTTATGAAAAATCCCAATCTTCAATTATGGGAAACTACAAAACTCTATTAGTTCCCAGTAAAAATCTCATGTCAAAATTTCGTCATTTGATCCTCGAAATGTTCTGCCCCAACAGGTTTAGCCAAAATGTCCCATCGGGATGCCTGATGTGTATCACGTGCAAGCTTGGGCAGGTGCGCGCTCGGCACTGGGCGTGTTACTTGACATGCACGCGTTGGACAACTTGGGCCTCCAGGCCATGTTATGTTGTCAACCCATTGAATTGGGATCTCAATGCCACACGCATGGGCACTCCTACAAGCCTTGACGGAACACTCCAAATGCCACCACATGTTCAAAGCATCACAGAGTTGGCACAAAAGGTCAACTTGTGACACATATCCTTGATGCATCATGTAGAAAGTAAGGATAACTTTAAATATCATTAATTAATTAAGCAAGTGAACTTGCATACAATATTTTGGCATTTAACACCAATGTAAAGTGGGGAAAAAAGGGACAAATTGTGATAGTTTTGGCGAAGTAACATACTAATAGAGGCTTTGGATGGAGAAGTAGTGTGAGAGGTTTGGGGTGGTCGGTTTGTGGAGTGGACATATTTGCCGGCTGTAGGCATGTCAGGAGGGGTTCTTCTTTGTTGGGATACCAGAGTGGTGGTGAAGGAGGATGTGGAGTTGGGAGGATTTTCAGTATCTTGTCTTTTACATTGTGTGGTAGACAATTTCCGTTGGGTGTTTTTTGGGGTGTATGGGCCCGTTTGAAGCTCGGAGAGGAGTGCTTTTTTGGGTGAATTGATGGATGTTGCGCATCGATGGTCCAAGTCGTGGTCTGTGGGGGTGATTTTAATATGGTTCGATGGCCGTTAGAGCGAACAGGGAGTAGTAGGGCAAAGGGGTCAATGCGGGGGTTCTGTACATTTATTGATGAGATGTGTTTAGTTGATTTGCCTATTTAAGGGGGGGGTTTCACTTGGTCTAATGGCCATCACATGTCCCAGATTGATAGATTCTTGGTTACTAGTGGTTGGGAGGAGCACTTTTCGGAGGTTGTGCAATGCCGATTACCCCGTCCAGTGTCTGATCACTGGCCTATTATGCTTGATAGTGGTGGGTTTTGTAGTGGGCCGACGCCTTTTTGCTTTGAAAATATATGGTTGCAGTCGGAGGGGTTTGTAGAGACGGTTCAGAGATGGTGGAGTAGTTATTTGGTTCGTGGCTCTCCTAGTTGCATGTTGGCTCAGAAATTAAAACTTCTTAAAGGGGATTTGAAAGCGTGAAATAAGGAGACTTTTGGTCGGGTGGAGGTTCAGAAAGCAGAAGTGGTGGCTATACTGCAGTCCTTAGATGTGCAGGAAGTTTCTAATGGGCTTCTAGAGGTGGATGTGGCTAGAAGGGAGGTGCCACGGCAGGACTATGTTTGTTTGGCTCGGATGAAGAAATATGTTTTAGACAAAAATCTCGTTGTTTGTGGTTGAAAAAGGGGGACCGAAATACCAACTTTTTTCACAGGATGGCAAACGGTCATGGGAGGGCCAATCAGATTGTGCGAATGCAGGTGGATGGGAGAGATTTGACTACGGACGACGAGATTCGAGGAAGCATTGTGGGTTTTCATCAGCTCTTGTTTCGGGGCCAAGATGGGGCATGGAGGCCGGGGTTGGGTGGGGTTTTGTTTGATGTTCTCTCTACAGGGGATAAGGAGGGTTTGGAGCGGGCCTTTTCAGAGGAGGAGGTGTTTGCGGCTTTGAAGATGATGAGTGGTGATAAGGCCCTCGGTCCAGATGGTTTCACGTTGGCGTTCTTCTAGCACTGTTGGGGTGTGGTCAAGGGGGATGTCATGGCAGTGTTTGAGGCTTTTTTCACGACTGGGCAGTTTGCGCAAAGTTTCAATGTGACTATCCTAGATTTAATTCCGAAGAAAGGGGGGGCAGAGGATGGGAGGGATTTCAGGCCTATTAGTTTGCTTGGGAGTGTGTATAAGCTGGTGGCAAAAGTGTTAGCAAATCGACTTCGGGGTGTCTTGCAGGGTGTGGTGTCTGAGTCCCAGAATGCTTTTGTTAGGGGGCGGCAGATTCTGGATGCTGTTTTGGTGGCTAATGAGTGTTGATTCTCGTATTCGGGAAGGGCGACCTGGTTTGTTATGTAAGCTGGATATTGAGAAGGTTACGATAATGTAAATTGGGATTTCCTGCTTTATATTATGGGTCGGATGGGTTTTGGGACAACATGGTGTCAGTGGATGAAGTTCTGTGTCTCCACGGTGCGGATGTCTGTTTTGGTGAATGGTTCACCGGCAAGTTTCTTTCAGACTTTTTGGGGTCTTTGGCAGGGGGATCCATTACCCCTCTTGCTGTTTATTCTAGTTATGGAGGCTTTTAGTCGACTGGTGTCTAGGGCTGTGCATGAAGGTTTGTTGATAGGACTTAGAAAATATGAGGAAGAAGAACTCCGAAAATATGAGGAAGAAGGAATATATTTCTGTTATATTCAAAACTTCTTTTCTTACAAGACCAAATGACACTCCTTATATAGGAGATATTACAAACATCATTATAACCCATTATATGCCACTTACATATTATATATTACCACTATCTACCACTATCATATTATATACATGCCACTATCTACCCTGTGCTTGAGGCAGAAGCGAAGACAAAAAAACCTGGGAAAAAACTTCTGAAAAACTCTTCATTTTCTGAGAGAGATATTCGTTTTCTGAGAGATTGCCTCTAAGAGCTGCAAATCTTGAAACACTCTGTAACCAACCCTTCCGAACATTACCAGTCTGAAATTGCTATTTCGCTGAAACACTTAGCAACCCAAAACATGGCCTCTTCTTCCCGGTCAGCTACCCAGAATATGGCCTCTTCGTCCCATGGTCTGCTCACTCTCTTTCCCGACCTCAATGAGTCCACAAGAGAGACAACTGGTGTGGTGGCACTGGAACCTCAACCAAGCGCCTCGGAGTTTGCTCCGTTGAACTTCCCTATGCGGTCTGTGGAGCAAAGAACGGCAGTGCAGTCGGATGTGGAGGCCAATCAGTATACATTGAAGTCATGTGTGGAGACCATGACTGCGGTCACAAACCTGTCGCACCGGCTGCAGAGTAGGACAAATGAGGTGCAGCAGTTAAACGCCCAACTAGCTCTGCTCCAGCGCATGTATAAGGATGCGCGAGCAGAGATATGTGTGCTAAAGGCGGAAAATAAGGAGCTGAAGCGGAAGGCCACCGTTATGTTCCGATTTGGAGGGCCGCCATATGCTGCAGTGGAGGAGCAGGGTGGAGTGATCGGGCCCAGTGGAGTGGGAAACACGGAGGCAACACC